CAAAAACCTAAGTCTGGTCAAATACATGCAGGTAGCCGCTCACTGGCTCTTAGACTAATAGTCGTTTTGACGAAGGGTGGATTTGAGTTCATCTAATTCCTTGGATCTATTTTGGTTGTCAGTTACTTAGCTGGACAATATAGCCCACTGTATTATGTCAAATAGCTTCAACTTCTTCATAACGCCAAAATCCATTCCCATTTAAACCATTATCTCTCGGACCGAATCTCCCATTGCCCATGTTCCTGAAAACCTAACTGAAGAAGTTCGGCAAGCTAATGCCTTTAAAGAAGAGCAGAATTTCCGAAATTCATCGTCACATTAACAGATCCTCAAAAACCCAAATGATAACCCAGACATAGTTATTCTTCTGATAGGCGAAGTCAATTCCAGTGTACTGCTAACACCACACACTATACTGAGAAGATGGCTACATTACTTGACTCTCCAGAATACCAACCAACAACCAGAGACCCCACCACATACCTTGAAGAGATACAGAAACCAAATATCCCACTTCATCTCATCGTCAATGCCTTTGGATCCTCACACACACCCTTTCCAATAGCCTAACTCTGAAACTCTTCACTATTCAACAAACGTACATCCTTGCCTGCTCTGACGTAATAAATCTTTTTATGAATATCCCACTATACCAAATTTCATTAGTTCGGACTTCCATTGTCATCATGAAACATTGTCAATCACCTTCAAACAAATATACGAAATTTTTTCGGTCCTCGAAACGAAACACCTTCGACTCCCGCCCCGCTCCGCCCCTCCACCTGTCCAGAGACATAAATACGAGACCAGACTCTTGAGAACCCACAATTCACAAACCCTTCAAGTGTATCACTATCTGAAGCAGATTGAGACCTCAGTATAGCCACTTCAATGTCGAAACATTCAATAATGAAAAACTTTACGTCTTTGTTACCAGACTTCAGAATCTCAGATTGCTGACTACAGTAGCCTCTCCGAGCATACACACAAGCACACAAACACGTTACAACACAGGCAGACACAAAAGCTACAGGATAATCCTAAGAACATCAATCATTCAATTAGTTCATTCAATCAGTTAATGATATAAACTGAACACAACTCACACAAATGAATTGAAAAAAGTCGTAATTTGACCAGAATCATTTGTATCTCATGATTAAAAACATGTTAAAAATATTGCTAAATCTTTAGTGGGAAAACCAATATCGATAAAATTCTTACTACAGAAACTGAGAACTTCAGTTCATCTTAACACTTTTGAAAAATATCAGATAGACTCAGTAGGCTAAGTTTATGTGGTACAGATATACCAATAGAACACAAAATTTTTTGGATACCTCTTTATATATCGAGTCACTAACATTAAATACTTACTTGGTAACCATTTACATCGGTGAAGAAATCTTCACTACTATTTATATTTGTTGATAATCTCATTGCTAATTCGAAATTACTAGTTTTTTCTATATCCACTAAATTTTGAATCTCTATTCCAAGACTATCGGCGCCTGCAATGAGATATCATAATAATAATAATCGTTTTTATTAACTGAAATACAAATTATATAAATACATAATAATATGACAATACAAAATATATATAACAGAATGTCAGTTAAAAGGCAGAGTTAAAGTCTAGTCGGTAATAAGATACAAAACACTCAACACTTTGTTGTTTTTTTGAAATCAATTGTACTTTAAATCGAGTCAACAATCTTTAGTTCGGTTATCCGAAAAAAAATTCAGAATAGAGGTAGACTTTGATGTGAAAGGATCGTTGAAATATTATTTCTATTAAATAAACAAATGTTTCACATACCTAGAGTATTATAGAGCATGGTAGTATGATGAATATAAGGCAATTGTACAGACACAGATGACAACAATTGTCCTTTTATCACGTTCACAATAATATTTTCCAACTGGAGGGGAACAGCATCTCCATCTGGTAAAAATAAGTAGGCTCCACTTCTCTCAGAATTAGTGTTGGCTCTTACGCCATATCTGAAAAAAATCACTAATTAAACATGCCCAATTGGTCAATTTCGAAAGAATGATGACTTATTTACAAAATCAGGAATTATATTTTTTCATCTTCACATAATCCCCAAAGATAGTGGCTCTAAGATAACATGAAAAATGATAAAGAAATTAGTTTGAAAGTAATGAGTTCGCCATTACTAAAAATCACTAATCTTACTTGAAAAATTTCCAATTCAGTAGAAAATTCTACATTACATCAATAAGAAATGAGTAAATACATACTTATACATCATTAATGGAATTAATGGAATGGAATTAGTTGCAATACTCTACTCAATACACGTTTCACCAACCAAGTTGGTGTCTTCAGAGGAGATGACTTCAGGTGAGGGACCTGATAAACTATGTTTATTTTTATAGTTGGATTGAAGTAAGTTTGTAATAATCATATTATTAGATTTGAAATAAAGCACATGAAACAGTTAATTACAAAATATTACTACAAGTAAACAAAACATTCTTATAATCCACTCAGAAAACGGCAAATGTGATTTTTAAACAAAAAATAAAGATATAAATCTGAAATCTAACAAATGAATAATAATTACCTGAATTCGAAGTTTCAATCAGAAGATTATGTAATAATACTTTATTTCCGTAAAGACAATATGAAGTTGTATAGGAAACTGTCAACACAATAAAATAAGGAAACTGAAATTATAAAAATCAAATAGGTGATAGTAAAAATCAGACCTAAGGATTATTAAAAAATTCTGCTAGTGTATAACATATATGTTTTCAGTATTTGTTTAAAATTATACTGTTGTCTTGAAGCTAGTGTTCGACCGAAAGTTCGGTTTCGGTCGAGTTTCGGCAAAAAAAAAACAGGTTTCGGTGGCAAACCTGCCGAAACTACGACCGAAACTGCATTCGGGAGTTCCCGCGCTGTAATCGGTCATGTTCGGCGCGTTGAATTTCATACTAGCGACGGAGCGACGAAGACATTTTGCCGCGTCCACGTGCCTAATCATGTCGTGACTGGAGACTTATTTTGTGATTTACTTTGTTTATTACATACATATTAAGTACCTATTGTGATATTAGGTAACAACTTAAATGAGTAATTTTATGTTAAATATTTTCGAAAAATCATCAATAATATTCAAAAGAAGGATCTACACCTAGGTACTCAAATAAACACCTCACCTATTTTAAGTATTTTTAAGATGCAATTAAATAAGGGTTTGTTATGTTGATTATCAATAAGTAAAAATGTCGAAGACTGCATAATGTTGTGATTTAAAGATAAAAAAATAAAGACTGATTATAATAACGTTTTCTTTATTTTTCCCTCAAAACTTAATCCTTGTAAGGAAGTTTCGGTTTCGGCCGAAATTCGTTTGCGGTTTCGGTCGTAAAAACCAGAATACATTGGACCAATGTATTCTGGCCCAGAATAAGTCACTTTTGATTTTGCAATTGGCTCATGGAACTAGTTTTCGATTCTCGTATCGTGATGGTGAATACTCTTATTTAATGTAAATTTGATCTATTTTTTAACACATATACACAGAAATTCCAAATATATAGACTGATGCAGAGTTGAAATATAGATATTAAATAACCAAGCTCTAGTCAATACCGACCGTAAATTAATAAAAAGAGACTTCAGGGAATTGAGTTTATATATCAGATGTTGGCAATGACTTTCCAATTCAGGAATTCATCCAGATAAATAACTAAAAACTCAACACTACTACCATCACTTTTTAAAGATAAGTTACTTACATTGAACTGGAGATTTTAATTTTTTTTCTTCTGCCGATTGTGAATACTAATAACCAGTGTTTTATCAATGTCGAAAAATAAAGTGTGCCTATTAAGAAAACTGGATACTTGATTTATTGTTCTTGAATATTTATTTTCTAAAATTGTAGTATCAGCTGCAGATACAATTAATAAAAAATCATCAGCATAGGCTGTGTAACTACTGTCTTCAATTATAAAGTCCATGTTGTTTACATACAGAATAAACGAACTAGGACCTAATAAAGAGCCCTGTGGTACACCCACTATTATGTTTCTATGTTCAGAGTTGAATTTGAAGATACTTTAATTTTATTGATCCCAGTTCTGGAGAAATGAATTTATCCAATTGAATGAAACACCTCTTGTACCATAATATTTCAATTTTGAAGCCAGTTTTTCATGATTGACAGTCAAATGCACGACACAAATCACACAGCAGTACTGCCGGAAAAGTCACCTCAATCAATATGTGTGATTATTTGATTTATTAATGAAAAAATTGCTGTATTAGTAGACTTTTGTTGACAGAATCCATGTTGCTTTTGGGTTAACATGGAATGCTGATTTGAAAATGAATTGAGTCTATCGAGAAAAGCATATTCAAATAATTTGGAAAAAAAAGCCACATGGGACTGAAATAGGACAATAATTTTCCATTGAAATCATGTCCTGTTTTTTATGTATAGAATTACTTTTTCAGTTTTTAATTGCTGAGGAAAAACTCCTGATGAGAACGATATTTCATTTCATTTCATTTACATAGGAACAATAGAAATAATCAACATTGCCAAATCGTAAAATTTAGGAAGCCTATAATTATTAATTAATTTATGGAAGTGCATGTGAACCCGTTAACGTTTCAATTAATGATAAATTCTCCACATGGAATAAAATGTACACAAAAAATCATGTTTTCTTGTGCCTTTCCGCACAATTAAAATCAGCAAAAGAATGCACCATATTTATATTCAAATATATCTCTAAAACCCTTTCAAAACACACACATAAACTCGATGAAACAATGAATTGTTCCTATGCGAGCTGTCAGCTAAGAAAAAGTTGAAACTCAATGTTGCAAAAACAAGCAGAATGGGTCCGATATGACATACATTTTCAATGCCGAATAAAACAATAAATTGTGATATGGGTACTTCATTTTCCTGAGAAAATGAACGATCAATTAAAACTTTCTGTAATTATTCATTCATTTTTTAAAGAATGAAGCCAGCAAACAAATAAATTACAATGCTCGAATCCACGAATTAAGTATAAAAATGGACAACAATATTTGCCTTGATAACTGAGATAGTACAAGTTATATCTAAATATGATTCTAAATAGAATTTAACGAGCTGTATTTTTAAATAGTTTTCGAGTGCTCATGAACCCTAAAAAAAAATCAATTATGCATTCATGCCACCCACCAAAAATAAGAAATTCAACGTTACTGGTATATTAGTCATGTTGTCATCCAGTCAGCCAGCGCCTTCTGTACTGTATGCGACAATGTGGTATTTCTAATGTCAGTGGTTTCCACACATAACTTTGTATTTTTGTTAAAATAATGTCAAAATGAATGTTGAGCCTAGTTTTGTTAAAGCTGACTCCAACAACTTATCAGAGTCGATTTTGAAATGATCGATGAATTTTGCTTGAAAAATTTGCAATACTTTGGTTTGAAATGAAGAATAAAAAATTGAAATGGTGGGTGGTATATTTAGAAGGTCCCTTATATTTATATGACGTTCATTTCAGACTTTGTCTTTTATCGAAAGATCGAAAGTTTTGATTTAATTTTTATTTTAGCACAGCCAACTGAAGAAAACCATAGATCTCTTAGAGTTTCGTTTTTGGGAACACTGAAAAACTTTTTGTCTGATATGGATGATCTGTTTTTACAACTAGGTATAAAACATATTTTAACCATTTTGGTGGTAGTAATGGTAAAATTCAATCCAAAAATAACCTGAAAAAATATTTTTTGGAATGTGAACTAATGACACGGAATATGCAGCCTACCTTTTACAAAAAAAAAAACGTTCTTTAATTAGATAATTGAAACAGTTGTATTCACAATAAAAATGACGTCTGTCAAATTGGATCATCAGATCTGTGATTGGATATTAAAAACCAATACACTTGGCAACTCCGCTCTAGACACAATCAATTTTATTGAACAACAGACAATCGGCAAATTTAAATTCTTGCTTTTCGAATTGTTCTTTTTTCTGCAAATATAATGAGATCTTAGAACCGATTAGACTTGATAAGTATAATATACCCCTAACTCGATCAGTCTATAAGCAAACCAGTATCATTTTCCATAGCATGAAACAAGCCCATTGTGATATCAGATATTGAAGAATAAAAGCATATATGATCTACATACAAGATAAAATATGTATGAATTATATATAAAACGTAAATATATGAAATATATGAAGTATGATGTATAAAATATGAAAAAATATATAATGTGAAATGTGCAGAATGTCAAATGAATGAAATATAGATTAATGTATGAATATATACCGCAACAATGAAATGGGAAATTATATTGATCAAATGTGTTATACTTTTTTACTTAGGTAATACGTGATTATCTCTAGTTGCCGAAACTCAGTATTTATTCAGGTTCACAGTACTTTCTTCAGTGTGACAATTGTTTAATTATTATTATGGATAGTTTCAACAGGTTAATTGGAAAAATCCCTCCTATAATTAACCAATTGGAAGTTATTATGAGTCAACGTCGAGAATATTATTAAATGTTGCCGAAATGTTGAGAAACATACTGTTCTGTTTTGTCTGGCAGTTGTATGCTAGACAAAACAAAAATTCCAACATCCAGATTGTCGAGGCTTTGTTAAGATTGAGAGATAATAGAAGGCTTTCTCCAAGAGGGAGATAAATGGGACATATTGAACACAAAAACTTTTCAGATATATTTTCTTACTTGACAAAATCCAAATGAACAGGAACTGTATTTCCCCCTACGTTAATAGATTTCAGTAGTCCTAATTTGTTGAAAGAGGCAGTTACTCTACTATTCTGCAATGTGAACTCAGAGGAACTGGGAAATGTTTCAGTTTTGAATTGACTTGGAACTTGAATATCTCCGTAATAGTTGAAAATGTTCACTGAAGAATACACGGTTTCCCTGCGAAATTAAGGAAATTAGCTTCTGATAATTCCTTGTATGATAGAACAGCTCACTTAGGTACATTAATTTCTTCTAGTGCATTCACTACATAACTCACAAGACCCAGCGGTGGTACTTCAGCAATAAATGACAATTGATATTTAGTTTGGGAGATAGACGAAGCATACTCAAAAATTGGCGAAATTTGACAAATCACACGTTTTTCTTGAAAGTCGATCACCTGAAAAAAGCGGAGATTTCAATCAAATTTTATGAATAGTTAAAACATAACTATAATTTACCTATATAACTGCCAATCTTTTTAATATTTTATAAAGATATAAACTGTATAGTGATATGACTCATTATTTTTTATCTGACTTTACAATCAAACCTCAAGTGAATTTCAAAACTCTGAATTCTACACTTTTTCTTACCTCGACAAAAGGAGTAGAAACATGAAATGTGACCATTTCCCTTCTAGTAAATGTAAGAGAATTGAAAATTACAATATTTTTGGTGCGCATTTCTGGAACTCCAATTGTTATCTGGTAATGTTCAGAGAGAGAATTGTGAGAATGTCTAACATCATCAACATGGTAATAGCTGACATCTTTGGTGGGAATTTCAGCACCTAACCCTTTCAGCAAAATATGAGTGCAAATCTGAATAACTTTCTGACATCCATTTATTGCCGTTATCATTCTGAAAATTAACTGTTCAATATAAAATATTCTGGATAAGGATACTAATAGAGATATTTGATGGATACATTTTTAAAAGGCAATTATATGAATTCAAGTAAGTTGAAAAATAATAAATTCATGTGAATGATATCAAATAAAATGATTTTTCAAAGCATCCAAGTAACTTTCATACTAACTTACTTCTACCCACTTAGAACTTTATATAAATCAATGATTTAAATCATATGACTTTCTACCTACTTGAAGACTAATAATTTTACCAGAGTTTAAGTATGAACTAATTACCAATTTGAACATTAACAAAGACATTTGACAGAAAAACTCATTTGAATGAACATCTACTAAAATAAAATTTCTGAAGTTTACATTTTTAATTATGGATAAGTCATATAATTCAAATTATTAATTTATATAAAACACTAACTAGGTATGTATAATTTAGATAGTATGAAGGGGCCTGAAAAAGCTATTGAATAGTTTAAGATATAAACTGTTTGGTGAATCTTAGGTGAATTCATTATAAATTGCTGGTAAAATTAAAATAAGTGTTATTTGTTGGATATCACTATACATCTGATAACTACCTAAAATCAAAATGATCAGGTCAGTTGAACAATGTCACCTCATATCGACAATAATCTTGGTCAATTTGTAGAAAGTAATACCTCATAAGTAAAAATATACACTAAAGACATACTAATCTACTTCACTCTAGAAAAAAAACAAGTAAATGTTTATGAAACAGAATCACACACTAGTCTTACAATAAACTCACTTATTTGCATAATCTATAACAACATGATTTTTCGCGGTGCCAGTTATTGCGTCATGGTGTTGAAAGAGCGATAAAGATTTACGAGCATTTGATATTGTTTCCAGCAATCCATGATCTTTTTCTACAATCCATGAGTGTCCTGAGTTTTTACTGAGATATGCAAGAGTGTGTATGGTCTCAGCAGCCCTGAAACATATAATAAAATTCCTTTCTGAGTAATACTAGCGAACTGTTTTATAAAACAGATTTGTTTCATTGTCTCTATACATATTTATTTTATATGCATCAGAAATTCCGGCCAAACTCTTACCTAATAACAATTTCTGTTATAGACCTTTTCTTTTCTCTAATTTTTACCAGTAGTTTTTCAGCCTCAGACAGTCCCCATTGAATCCCCTTTTTCTAAATGATCATAAATAACGGTGATGATAAATTGAACTTTTTAAAAATGTATCAGAAGTTGCTGCCAATTAGTACAGGATGGATAATATTATCAAAATTATTAGAATTGAAGGGGTTATATTTTTAGGAGTGATTAATTTTTTGGGAAAGAAAGTTTTTGGCTTTCTACTACTCCATCCGATACAAAAAAAGGGATGAACTCTCATCCCTTTTTTTTCTGATCATTGGATCTACCGCCTTCATTTTGAAGGTCCTTATTTAAATGGTCATAAATGTAATTAGTCAAATTGCGAAGAGCATTTTATGTTGATGTGCGTTTTCTGAAACCAAAATGTTTTCATTTTTGCCTTGCAAGATTTACTGATAAATTTACAATTGTCTCTTCTTCTTCTCAAGTTTTGATATCATTTATTTCTTTGTTTCACCTTTTCAACGTCAACGACCAATGTGACCAGCAGCCTATATACCGACTAAATGGTAGAAATAAATTATCTCTTTCTTACCTTATATATGACAGTAATACTCGATCCATTCTTTTATAGAAAGGCCTAGAGGTATAATAACCACTCCAGTAATGATCATCTCGATCAGCATATGTGAAAAAGTCTCCAGACAAAACTGGAAAATCTGTAACTTTTTTTTCTTTACGGAGTTCCCTAAAATAATCAGATAAAGTTCCAAATTGAGCCTGAAAAAAAAAATAATAATAATAGAATATTGAAATATTTAACAGTTGCAGAAATATTTTACACAAACCAGGGAGATGTTACTGAAAATATTTTGTGCGGTTGAAATTCAAGTATAAAAGATGGAGCATTAACATTTTTGTTCATGCATGCAATAATTTTACCTTCACATTGAGATGGGGCTTGGAATTCATATAATCAAATAACTTTTGGTAATTGTTATACTGAACATCCCATTCAGTAGGATGATCATATCTGAAGTCATCTCCTAGAGGAGCAAGTAGTACATTAGTTTTATACAATTTCGATTTTTTCCTATATTGATCCAAAAGAAGCTGCACCCTAAAAGAAAAGTTAATTTATACATACAAATGTTTGAGATTTCAGTAAATAATGTTCATTAACAGTGTGTGCTGTTCTTTTGAGTTCTCAAAAATTGATATTTCTGATTAAACCTGAAAATTATTACACATTTTTCACAATGATTGATTTCACAAGGGAACAAAGATGGATGTTTTGGTAGAATTTTGAAAAGATGAACTTTTGCATCAAGGTCGAAAATGCTATTTTTGTTTTTATATCATAAGTGAGGGAACAAACATACTATAAGTTTCAAGAAATCTGCATAATTATTTTTTTGGTGTAAAGTNTACACTTCCATCATTATATACATACTATAAGTTTCAAGAAATCTGCATAATTATTTTTTTGGTGTAAAGTTTCAAAAAATCATATCATTTCCATTTTCAAGTTCCTTGCAGATTCGAGATAATCTCTTATACTAGTAGTATTCCCCCAACAACGTCTTGAACATATTTGAATTTTTTTTCATGTCCCTTTTTAATATTCAAGACACTCGTCTTCGCTACTTTTAAAACTGGCAAACATAAGATTTCCTTTTCCCTTTACTTCCGGAAAAATCTGAACACTAATGAAAACTAACTATAAAGTGCTACATTATTATTGTACAAGTTATTTAAAAATCAATCAAACACCATTCAATACTTTTATGAGAAAAACGAATTAGGTATTTTTTTTCAATTTCTCATCACGACGGATTTGGTGGATGATTGTTTTTTAAGAACTCACTAAAACAGAACAGAAGTCTAGACTGGCAAATTATGCATCGAAAATCAATAATTCATTCACCTATTTTCAATATTTTTATCAGTTATAACCTGTGGTGATACTCTCCAAGGACAACTCATTCCATGAGCTGGAAGTCGTTTGAAATCAAACTGACAACAAATTTTTGGATCTGGTCCACAAGTATGAGGAATGTCATAAGAATAAAAAGGCATCATATGGGTGAACATATCAGTTTTACCATTACCATCTAAAATGAGATTTAATGTAGAGTATAAATCGGTAGTGACATGGAATACCTCTAAAATTCTTTTTACTATTTAAAATCAAACCTCATATCGTGGACTAATGAAAAACTTAAAAACACATGAAAAAACTAATGTTTTGGTAGAAATTGAAGAAATAANAAAAACTTAAAAACACATGAAAAAACTAATGTTTTGGTAGAAATTGAAGAAATAATTTGTTTAAAAGTAAAACAAAATTCCGAAAGGGCTAAAATAAATTCTACCAGATATTTTCAACTAAAATAAGAGATCAAATATCATGACAACACAACGAAAGTAAGAATGTAATATTTGTGATTATTTTTCACGTATTTCCCTTTGTCTGTGAGAATATACAAGTTTATAATGAGCAGTAAGCATAAAAGGATTTCCACCTATTGGTCTACCATGTCATCGAGAAATATCTTAATACCCCACAACTGTCTCCACAGAAATTCCAACTGCTGTTCTTTTGCTAAATGCTTTTTAACAGAATAGTGAACTCGTTGAATCAACATATTCTTCAAACCCATTTCTTTCAGTAAGGCAGGTTGGGTCAAACTCAAACCAAATGGGTCAATAGACCAGTGACTGACTGGAGTATAATTCAAATTTTCTTGAAGCCACTGATGGCCCTCTAGGAACTGGTTCATGATCGATATCCAGTGTGAATTTGCCTCATCATTCATCACCCAACCTCCTGATACTATTTCTAGTTGATTATTCCGTATCAACCTTAAAAAAACCTGGTAAAAAAATGGCAGACACAAAATATGTCTATACTACCTTTTCACTGCTTCCTTATCATCCTCCTCTAATTCATCCCACCACATAGAAAAATAGGAAATTTCTGCCCATATAAACTTTCTTCGGGGATCTTCAGGCAATTTCTTCAGCATATTATCTAAAATATGCTTTGTTTGTGTGGTGTAATATTCTTCCACAGTTTTAATCCAACCTGGATCATTGTGAGAGTGAGGAACAACGAACACCTTCATTGTAGAACAGTAAAATTACTTGAAATATATTTCTTTTTGGAAAGTCAGATAACCATTATAATTCCAGGATACATAAAGCACTGGATACTACAAAAGTAGGCCAACGAAACTAAAATACCAACCTTTAATTTATTTTGTTTATTCCATTCTTTTTCGTCAACCTCAATTCGCCATCCCTGTTTCCAAACACCACCATCAGGATTATCAAAACTCAAACTTTTATACACTTCCAACATTTGAATGTTCGTTTTGGGTACAACACTCAATTGAATCGAACATTTTTTATCATAAATATTATCAAATACGACTTTATGCCTTTCTCCAAATAGTTTTGAAAACATTGAACTATTTTTTTTCCAAAAAGCAGTTGAACTTGGTTGCAATAAATTATTCATTGCAAATTTTATTTCTGATACAGCATTACGGTGTTTATTCAAATCTAAGTACTTCTCAATTTATGTTATCCTATTAATAATATAAGTTATCTTCTAGTCGCGACTTTCTTTACTTGACTTCAGGGTCCAGAAATAAATAAAAAAATTGTGGGTAATAAAAAATCCTTGCACTGTAAAAAAAGGTGCAGTTTTGTGTTCAAGTGATTAGGTATTCAATATAATCACAATATTTTTTTGATGCAAACATTCTTAGTTGATATGCTTCTATAGACCAAATTCAATGTCTATGAAAGCGTCGATTGCAATGATTTGTTTTGATAAAAAATTTTGTCAAAAACATTCAATCAGTTTATCATATATCCTGGAATGTTATCCCATCTTCATATTTTTTTTAATTGAAAAAACTATTTTCAGGATACTTCAGAAAGTATAGGAAAATTCCTGCTGATTTAATTGTGTTCATTTCATGGCTTCATTTGTCAGATTGGACCATGATTTAAACTGTTTCGATTTTGTCTTTCCTATCAGGGAAATAGGGGGCTACAAGTGGGTAGTGGTCCAATATCAGACTTCATTTCATAACATTTTTTCAGGTACTTGTACGATAACAAAAGTTTCACTTTAAAAATATTGAACATTTTATTAAAACAACGATAAAAATAAAATAAAAACAACAATAAAAATTAATTGGCGCTCCGTTGCGACTTCATTGATTCCAGTGGCGCATTTGCTTTTTCAGCTGCAGGAAAACCCGGAAAAAACTGCAGCACCACATCATCTGAAGATCTTGATCTAACAATGTCCTCTCTCTCA